CTGTCTCTAGTAGAATCTAGGCTTAGGTGAATTCCTAATACTAGTAAGGTAACTAGTAAAGATGGGCTCAGATTTATATCCTGAAGTCAGTAAAGAAAAATATGAATAAGCAAGAATACACAAAAGGGAGTATGATATAAGAAAGAAACTTCTTACAGGTATCTTACACAGAATTCCACTGTGTTCTCATTAGCTCACTGTAAGGGCTTAGGGTTAACAATCAATGGTCATGGGCCTTCTGTTTTCTATCCTCTCAGGGAAGCTCAGTTTAAAATCACTACAAGGTATAATCTTAAGTAACATTAAGGTCCCCTTTTATTTTTTTTCACAAGATTGGGAATAATGAAGATAATCTTACAAAGTTTAAATTCATGAAGACCTTTTTTCAATCTGTGAAATTCTCCATAGAGTTTGTACTTACCATTTCCAGTTCCCATATCATTGGATTCATAAGTTGTAATATTCTACCTAAGAAATACAAATCTAATTGTAATTTAGCAGTTGTAAGGATTGTTCCTTTTCAACAGGAAAATTCTCCAACCTGTTCAGAAAACAAACATACTATTTGAATGCAGGCACATTTGTAAATCATAGAGGGGGACAACTGTATGCAACCCATTTGGAGATTGTTTAAAGGATCCTTTTGCAGTTTTATCAGTCAATGCTCATCTTCACAACTTTTGAAGAATAATTAAAACAGAAATTAAGTATGAACTAGCTTCATCTTCTGCTATCCTGGAAATGTTTTCCCATTAATACATTATCAATTTGTCCCTCTTAAAATAAATTCTTTTTTTCATGAGGATTTTCTACAGTGTCCATTGGATAGTTTATCTGGTGCCACCAGATAGGCATTAGGGCTTTGCCAATATTTTCTTTATGGATCTTACAACATGACCATTCTAGGATATTTTTAGAACATTTTCTGACTGATTTTGTATATTTGAAGTTCAATCTGTGACCTCCCCATAAAGTTTTTATTATTGAAAAAATGCTTTTTTGTTGTTTTATATGAGACAGTTGGGTAGAGTAAGGACTTTTCATCAAAACATGTCTAAAATATTTATATCTCTGTATCTGTATTAGTTTTACCCTATCTTTAGTTTCTATAGTAACTTTTTTACTATGAGTAAACCTTCATGAGAGTAATTATTTTAGGTAACATTATGATATCAAGTAATTAATATCATTGCTTATTTTCAGAAAACATCCAAAGACCTAAAATGTTTCTGAGACTGAAGTTGTGGCTCAGTGATAGAGTGCTTCTGTAGAGGGTGTCAGGGTATTGGATTTGATCCTTAGGATTGACAAAAAATATATATAATTTCAAACAAATGAATCATTCTGGAACCATATGCACCATTAGTTTATGTATCTTCTTCTTCATTTTAGCAGTACCCAAAATATACCATAGAGAAGGCTCTACTTCAGTTATTATTAGAAAAATTTAGGTTGGGGTAAAGTATTGGACTTTATAATACTGACTGCACTGCTTATTGTATATCAAACTTAGAAGTGTTCCTTCTTAATTTTAGTATAAAAACATAGTAAAGCAATTGTAAGTATAAAAGTCATAGCAAAGCAATATCAAGTCAAAATTTAGTACTTGAGTGCTCAAATTCTATTCTGAGCAGGAACACTTCTTGAATGATAAAAACACATACTGAGGTTCTCCTAAATTGATTAAGGTTTATAAGGTTGTTATTATGAGAATCACATCAGTAGATAGAAAAAGGAAAAGAGAAGTAGCAGTAATTCATAATTACTTAATTAACTAGTAGATAATGTTGGGCAGTTACTGTAATAGGAATTTATTATGAAGTAACATTAGATTTAAAGACATAGCGAAAACCTAAAAATGTTTTGACTCTTTATGTCTGAAACTGCCCTAAGGCAAGGGATTTTAGCATTGTCTACTGGATTAGGGGTTAGGTTTAGTGGATAAATTAGTTATCTCTTGCTCTGTAATAAATTACATAAAATCTAGTAACTTAATGCAACACACACTTATCATCTCAGTTTCTGCAGGCCAGGCATTTGTTTAACTGGGTTCTTGCTTTGGGATCTTTCACAGGACTAGGGATGGGGTGTAACCTAAAGGCTTGATGGGGGAGGAGTACACTTCTAAACTCACTTATGAGGTTGTTGGCAGGATTATACCTTGCCTCAAAGGATGTTGAACTGAGAACTCGTATTTTTCAGGTGGTTGGGCAAGGACAGCCCTTAGTTCCTTGTCTTATGAGCCTCAACATGGCAGGTTTCTTCAACAGAGTTAGCAAGAGACAGTGTGCTAGAAGGATGGAAGTCATTAACTTATGTAACCTAAGCTTGAAAGCAACATCCATTGGGATGCTGTTTTCTATAGACTAGAAGCAATTTGCCAGCCCTGCTCATACTTGAGAGGAGGAGATTACACAAGTACATAAATATTAAGAGGTGAGGGTCATTGGAGAACATCTTAGAAGCTTCCTATAACAATGGGCAATAGTTCTTCAATATGTGCCATGTTGTTAATTTATCCCTAGCATGGTGTAAACCTTTCAGACCATACAAAAGGAAAGATTCTTATATAACCCAGGTATCTAGGATTATCTGAAGACTTATGTGCTCTGTTCTGATCTTCCTTATTTCAGTGGAGTCTTTTGTCGGTAGTGGTTCTGGAACAATAGCTGTTTCTTGAATTATATGCAGTGTAAGTATTTTCATTTTTAGACTGACTCTTAGGTAGTATGTGGGAAGGACAGTTTGGACTTGAGGGTCCCAGCAAGTCAAACTTGGTCACAGCATCTTCAGAAATCTTTCTAAATGCGGGTCTTTAAAACAATATCATTGAAATCTCTAGAATTATGAAAGACAGTAAGACTAAATACAGTTGGCCTTCTGTATTTGCTGGTTCTGCATGTTTGGATCCAACCAACAATGGGTGGAAACAATTTTCCCTGTTGCTAATATGTTTTATGAATTATTCATGTACTGTAGACATATATACATACTATAGTTAGACTATGATCATTGTGTTAGCGACCAAAATACCTGACAAGAACAACTTAGAAGGGGAAAGTGTATTTGGGATTATGGTTTTAAAGGTCTCAGGCCATGGTCAGCAGGCTTAATTGCTCTGGGCCTGAGGTGAGGAAGAACATCATGACAGAAGATATGGCAGAGGAAAGTTATTCAATTCATTGTAGACAAGAAGCAAAGGAGGGATGGAGAGACAGAGAGAGAGCAAGCACAAGGAGTCACCAACATAATGCAACCCCAAAGTATGCCCCCAGTGACCTGTTTCTTCCAGCCATTTCCCACTTACCTACAGTTACTAAATTAGTCCATTCAAACTACTAATCCATCAAATGAATTAATTCACTGATGGAGTTAAACAGTTCTCATAATTTAATTATTTTACCTCTGAACATTGCTACATTGGGTGTCATATTTCCAATACATTAACTTTTAGGAGAACACTTCATATCCAAATCATAACAATGGTTGAGTTTGTACTTACGATTTACAGATTTTTTCCTTGTCCTTATTCCCTAAACAATGCAGGGCAAAAAAGTATTTACATAACATTTACATTGCATTAGATATGTAGAAATTATTTACACAGAAGGATGTGTAGAAGTTATTTGCAAACAAATTATACCATATTATATAATGAACTTGAGCATCGGCAAATTTTGGTACTAGTGGGGTTACTGGAACCAATTTCCCATCAATACTGAGGGACAACTTTATGTGGAATTTTTAAAAGTACAAAAGCTGAATTTATTGCTAAAGTATAACAAAGTATAGTTATACTCTACAGATAAGTTTTCTCTGAGCGGAAGAGACTGTTCATTTTCTATGGGGTTCTTGTAAAGTACTGACTTCAGGGATTGATAAACTTCTGAACATAAAGTGATTCACATCATCTGTAGAAATACAATACTGATGTGAGACTGCTGTGGGTTAGTGGGTATGCACTTATTGAAGTGAGTGTGTCCCCTGCTGTGTGATCTTAGCAGTAAGAGCTAACATCCATTGGTTGGCATACAAAAACATGTTCACTGAGGTGGGTTGGTTCTGACTAACTGAACAACCCTAAAATAGTCTCTGGTGGTTTCCTTGCTGCCAGGACCAGAGAACAATGAGTCTTTTTGTACATTTGTGGAAATGTTTTTACTCCTGCAGTTTGGGAAATACTGGCCCAGACCAAATACAAAATCCTGTAAAAGGATCGTCTTTTTTTTTTTTTTTTGAGGGCCTGACATATTTTTCTCTCACTTTAAAATACAAAATAGATGTACTTATTCATCTAGAGGAAATAAATGAGTGCAGCATTTAAAAACACGATGCTGGTCTCTGCTTGCAAGAGGTGGATGAAGAGAAAGTTCATTCCTCTTTGGTATGACTATAAGAGGCTACTAACTCAAAGACCCGCAAATGCTGGATGCATGTCAGTCATGACTAACAGGAATTTAAGCAGGTAATATAGAATTATGTGGTGAGCGTAAAAATTCGGATTCTTCTACACACTCCCAATTAAATTTATGTTTAAAACATTCTGCTGCCTCAAATATACTTGTCTATGAGTTGCACTTGCTTATGGACAATGTGCATAAAAGTTGTGTTAGTTTATTTCTAACTATCTTATTCTATTAATTTATCACAGCTGAACTGCAACTGGAAGCAGTTTATTTTTTCTTTCTCTTTCTGACAGTGTAGAAGTAAGATCCATCTAATGGGTGACATCTATTTATCATGCTGGTGTTAAAAAAAAAACTTAATTTGTATAGGCTCTATATGTCATGATTGTAATGAGATTAGGTTTGGGGACATGATTTTCCAGGGAAGACATAGAAGTACCTTTGTGTAACATTGAGGAATTTAGTGAAAAGCATAAAAATAATATAAATCATGAAGAATGTGGCTGTAGCTATGTCTCTGGTAACTACTGAGTACTGTCACTATTGCTCAGTGGAAATCTCAGGTTCACATTCAAACGATTTTTCTCATTACAGGCTGTGAGCCCATTCCTGTTCACTATCTTGAGTGGAGCAACATAGAATCCATCATAGCCATCGTCTTTTCTTGCCTGGGCATCCTCGTTACTCTGTTTGTCACTCTCATCTTTGTGCTGTACCGAGACACACCCGTGGTCAAATCCTCCAGTCGGGAGCTCTGCTACATCATCCTAGCTGGCATCTTCCTGGGTTACGTGTGCCCTTTCACTCTCATTGCCAAACCTACTACCACATCCTGCTACCTCCAGCGGCTCCTGGTTGGCCTCTCCTCTGCCATGTGCTACTCTGCTTTAGTGACCAAAACCAATCGCATTGCACGCATCCTTGCTGGCAGCAAAAAGAAGATCTGTACCCGCAAGCCCAGGTTCATGAGTGCCTGGGCCCAAGTGATCATTGCCTCAATTTTGATTAGTGTGCAACTAACACTGGTGGTAACCTTGATCATCATGGAGCCTCCCATGCCCATTTTGTCCTACCCAAGTATCAAGGAAGTCTACCTTATCTGCAATACCAGCAATCTGGGTGTGGTGGCTCCTGTGGGCTACAACGGACTCCTCATCATGAGCTGTACCTACTATGCCTTCAAGACCCGGAACGTGCCCGCCAACTTCAATGAGGCCAAATACATCGCCTTCACCATGTACACCACCTGCATCATCTGGCTGGCTTTTGTGCCCATTTACTTTGGGAGCAACTACAAGATCATCACTACCTGCTTTGCAGTGAGCCTCAGTGTAACAGTGGCCCTGGGGTGCATGTTCACTCCCAAGATGTACATCATCATTGCCAAACCCGAGAGGAATGTCCGCAGTGCCTTCACCACCTCTGATGTGGTCCGCATGCATGTGGGCGATGGCAAGCTGCCCTGCCGCTCCAACACGTTCCTCAACATTTTCCGAAGAAAGAAGCCAGGGGCAGGGAATGCCAAGTGAGTTATCCCATCCCAGTTTGTCTTCTCTCTCTCTCCCTCTCTCCCTCTCCTCTCTCTCCTCTCTCTCCCTCTCTCTCTCTCTCTCTCTCTCTCTCTCTCTCTCTCTCTCTCTCTCTCTCTTTCTCTTTCTCTCTTGTATTTGTTCAAATTGTTGCCCTCTTCTTCCCCTAAGTTTTTTTCTTACTTTTTCTTCCTTTAACAAATTTCAGATTCTATTGCAGTAGGAAGATAGAACTTAAAGTTTTTCATTAAGTTTGTATCTTCATTCCTTTGACACAGCAAGAAGCATGAACCAACAGCTGGCTGATCACATCCTCATTTTTGTCTAGAACCTCAAGCTTCAGTTCTCCCAGTAACTTTTTTCCTTTTGTATGGGTCCTCTCTCTGAGGAGCATCAATACACCTCTGGGGTCTGGGTCAAAGATGCAAACATTAATTCTAATTTATAGTTTGGACCATAGTAGAAGGTAGTTTCTAATTGGTTTTTATCATTCTTGGACCACACTATCACTAATTAGGGACAGAGAGCAAGGAAATTAAGCCCCTGAGGAAATGGCTGTTTCCAAATTGGATTGCAGATAAGCACCAACCGTGTCCTGAAATAACATCTCTTAAGTAACTGCTTTATCATCTCTTATTCTTTGAACTTTCATGCATATTTTAATAAAGATGTTCTACAGTGCTATAAGTAAATTGGGCTATCTCTACTTCAAGTTCATGATTAGGATGGTTTCTTAGACACAAAGCACCAGAATAAATAAAGGACCAGATAAAAGTGATGATCCCAAATTAGAGAGTCAATGTGAACATCAAAGTTCAGGTGTCTTGTATTCTGGTAATTCTTCTAAGCAGTTTGTATAATAACAACTTCCTATCTTTTCCCTGATTGTTTTAAGAAGAAACATATGCAAAAAATTTGCTTGTGTCATCTTTATGAGACTCATAAAAACAAAATTTAACACTTATAATCTATAATAATAATTTATAATATAATTATAATTTATAATAATTTGAAAGATAACAAGGACACTTGAAGTTGTAAAAAGTATTGAATTGTCAAAAAGCATAAAAATTTTCCATTATCATGATTAATTTTACTCTTTCAAGTAATTCTTTAAAAGTGAAGAATTTTAATAGCAACCATTATAATTTATATGCCATAATATAGCTATTCTATTCACTTGAACCAGTAAGTATGTTATTTTTCTACATTTCATAGGCAAGAAAACTAAGCAATTGTAAATTCGTAAAACTTTTCATTGTTATTCCACTTAGTCATTTTTTTGCACAGGTCTTACACTGATATGATTTTTTTAAATCTTAACATATATCAAAAACCCTACATGCATTAAAATTGTGAGTTTTGTAATTTTTATGTGCTAAGCTGAAGCACAAACACCTTTTACAGAAATCATATAATTTTGGAATCTGATGAAGTTTGGGGAAAAAACATGTCTTTAAAATACATAAGGTTATTATTATTTCAAGAAAAGACATCCCTAAGTTTTATCAATGTTAGGATAAAGCCAATAATTTGTGCTACTTCCCACTATGTCAACTTCAAGTTATTTATAAGAAGCTGATCACAAAAGTAGCTTAATAACTTTTTTCTTCTTGCCGAGGTTTTTGATTCTAGCCAACATCCCCTCAATTGCAACCTCCTGACAAGGAATTATTGTCCAGCACGAAAGCAAAGCAAAAATCCCATGGTTTGAGAGGGAAAACGAATAGGTTATTTTAGAGTATACCAGTGTAAAATGGCATCACAGTGATTTTCCTTAAGAGGAATGAAATGAGAGAAAGCAAAATAAAATGGAATGAAACTGGAATGTTCATAGGGAGCAAGAGATTCCCTTTATTGTACTACATATGGTGGCTGTCATGAGGGAGACATTCCGCCATCCACCAATGTCTAGCTCCATGTTTCTCATTTGTCTGTCTTCATTTTGGCTCTTCAGAAACTTCCATATGATTTTTGGTCACTGAACACTGTTCTGAGAACCTATAGAATTGAGATGTCTCATGTTGGTGCCCAGAAATATGCATTTGTGACAACTGTATAGGGCACCTGTCCAAGAAAATTGTGACCGTGAATGGTAAGCAGTGCTTGCTGCAGGGATGAGATGGAGTTATCCAACCTGACACTAATGATGCTTAGCACTTCTCCAACAGCCAGACTTCACTGTTCATTTTTGACAACCTTTCCATACCTGGACAGCTTTCCTTATAATTTGAGAAAATTCCTTTCACTATTTATTACAAATTAATAAATTAATTCCACTTGGTATCTTACCTATATAGTTATCGATGGTATCTGGCATTTGAGAGAAAAACCACCTTAGCCTTCATGAACTGGTTTGTTTGTCTAGGAAGTCCTGGTTTCATCAAAAACTTGTTTAACACTTAGCTGTAACTTATCAAGAATTGTCTTAGTGTTATGTTGAGAAATCTAGTTCTAATTAACTATAATAACAGGAGCTTTCTTAGTACAATTTGTAGCTTCTCCGATATTCACCATGCCAATGAGCTGATCCACAGAGGGTATTTGGAACTTAAATTCTATGGAGAACAGTCATTTGTTTACTCATTCATTCAGTGGTTGCTTCTGTTGTAACTCTCTTTGAGACTGTAATTTTAAAATGTAACAAAAATCTGCTTTTACCTTTTCTTATTGCCATTTTATGTTTTCCTGGTTTGTCTCCAAAGTTATAAAAAACACAATCTAATATTTTCTACAGCAATAAAAATCTAACAGAATTTTGTCAGCTGAAGCAAGGGATTGGAAGCTCTAGAGAACACATCACCCAGTGAGTTTATTATCATTCTGGATATGTAATTCCTACATTCATGGTGCACTGAGGGTATTCAGCAGCCTACATATGTAGCTATAAACACAGAGCAGATGCTGTAATGAACTTCCAGCTGATCTATATATTGGAATATGGTTCTAAGAAGTTGCAAGTCCAACAACATCCTCATGATAGGCTGTCTCTGAAATGTATGGGAAGGATGATATTGCCTGCGTTTTTGCAAAGAGTACTTGAATTTTATATTTTACTCATAGTCAAATATCTGACACAAAAAAGGGTTAGGACCTTGCTTTACATTTTCTGAGATATAATAGAGGAGGAGTTTAATCAGTAAATCTGAAGTTTGGTTTACTTGAGTTATTTATAGACAGAAGCCCTTTTAGGCATGTTGATATATTATTGTCTTTGACAACTCTTATTTTTTTAGTTGTTTTTTTTTAAGTGTCATCAAATGGGAAAATGTTAAGGCATATGCTAATATAAAGATACAGGAGATTTCTCTTTTCTGGCAATAGAAGAAACGCAGAAATCCATGGGTAGTTGTAAAGAAGTAAATTATTTACATTCAAGTTATTTATCACTTCTGTTCAAGGAAAAATGAGTTAACATCATTCCACTGAAAGTAAAATATTGTGCAAATGACATGCTTCCTTAAAACGTAGTTATATCCATGACGCAATGTTAAACTCATATTTTTAGTTATTTTCAGGATAAATAAACTCAATGAGTGCCAAATAATTTGATGGTACATGAAGCTAAAATGTGACAATATACTTACTCCTTGGACCTTTCGCATACATAGTCACATGCAAAACTGAAAGCAGTTGCCACCAAAAAAAAAAAAAAGGCATCAGACTGATATAAGGGTGTGATTTTAAAACATAGATTCCTAAGTGAACACAACATTATTTCACTTCTGTAGTTGTTTCTTACACAGTTGACTATGCTTTGAATGCAAGAGCTAAGTGAAATCTTAAGTGGAAGGATGCTCTGAGGAAATTTCCCCCTTGGTTCTCTGCTACAAAATCTAAGTTGACGTAAATAAGCCTGCAGAATTAGTCATGTTGCCATGTTGCCGTGGGTAAGCATTTTGATTTTTCTTTCCTTCTTTTATTAGGAAAGGAAATCTGATAGTGAGCCAACCAATATCACAATCAAATAGCTGTAACATCTTTTTCTCTCTAATAGAAACTCAAACATTATTCTGGCTTATAAATGAGAAAAATCTGTCATTTTGAAATCATTCTTTTCCTTAATCATACAGTACATGGCTTTGAAATTTATTATAATTCTTCACTTGATTTTATAGCAAGCATCAGGAGTTTTATTAAAATATTTGTTCTAGAATTTTATCACTTGGTGGGAACATGTTTTTGAGGATCTACTCTTAATTCATTCCTTTAATCAATCAATCATTGTTTCAATAGTAAGCTTAAAGTATTTAGGTAATTGACATGGTTCTAGATTATATTCAGGATAAAAAGGTATAAAATTAAGGTACTGACTGCACCACCTTACAGTATGGACAGACAAAGACCTAAGTAAATATCCCATGCTAATTGCCATATTAGAGGACCAATAGCATTCTGAGTGTCTAGGGAAAAGAGAGACTAAGTCTACCTATGAAGTCATATCTGTGAAAGGACTGGAAGGATATTTTAGTAAAAGCAGCATGTGAATCTGACCTGAAAGATTTTTTTCGACAAGAGAAGTGGTGCTATGGTGAGATCATTTCACATATAATAATAGAGGTGAAGATTAAAAAATGTTAGCACACAATGTGGATTCTGGTATAAAGGAAGAACATGGAGAAGACTATTTGTGCTACTGGAATCCTAGGCCAGGGGCCTATGCCCAGGGATCCCAATAGGCCAAGTTTGGCCACTTGCTTACAGGAATCCAAATAGTAAAAAGGCAAGCAGTGGTAAAACAGTGAAGGACTTTATTTTAGCATGTGTAACACCAGGAAGTGAAGGACCACTGTGTGAAGCACCATTTTCAGGAACTAACCATAGTGCAAGGATTTTATTGAGAAAGAACAATGGTCAAGGGTGGAGATGTCTATATAGTTAGCAATCTTGGTCAACCTGTGCTCCAGTTGATCATTGTCTCAGGTTCAGTCTTGCTGGTGTCAGGGAAGCTGCTGCTGCTTGGAGAGAATGATGGATCCCATCATGGGGTGTTTGT